CGTAGGATCAGTTCCGCGGCAGGCGCATTTTTTTGTATTTGCCCTAGAACATAGCCCACAAAGCTTCCAACTTCTCTGCTCGCCTGCGCTACCCTATAAGCGAACCTGCGATCAGTTTTTTTTTGAAAGTGTAGACCCATTGTGGCCTGAAAGAGTGCTTCTGCTTGTACCCCTCGTAACACGTGTCACAAGGGTTTTTGCAATGAAATACCATCATATTCATGTTCAGCGGGTTAAATTACCCCTGGGGACAAGTTTCTAGCCGAATCTGATATTTCGACCTCACTTGGAAAATGTGGGCTATTCCATGGGTAATTAGCAGCAGATTGGAGCTCACCTACCATCGATGACTGGTCTCGGAATGGGATTTCCTCCCGATAGTCAAGAAAATGATGCAGACGGCACAAATAAGTAAGCCAGGTACTGTTGTTTGCGAAAAGACATGACTGAAGAGTTATTTCAGTTCGAAGACCAGTCATCACCAGTATGCTAGTCATAGTATCGCTGTTGGCTATCAGTCAGCCATGACTATACCCCATTTTTTCGAAGTTGAGTCAGAAGCTCAGATTTTGCTAAGGTGACGTCTCTAGGGGTTATTTGACCCCCTGAACACGAATATGATACCTGTTTTGCGCGAAGAGCGCTGTGAGTCGCGCTACATGTGCCAACGCTTCGGCGCCAGCGCGCCCGTAAGAAGAAAAACAGTAAAGAAACCTCCATAACTCCGCTCAGAGAATCGTTCTGCAAATTTTGAAGACAGTTCTGAGTTCACCGTGTCAAGATGAGTACAGTGATGTGCATCTCATTGCAAATGGCCAGGCTGACCTGTTGACCTTTCCTGGTGAGTAGTTCTTGGTAAGACGGAATCTTCTTCTTCTTAAAGTGCTCTTATTTTGCAAACAGTTGCGTCGGAAGAAATTCACAGTGGTTCAGGGCAGGGAAACTCGCTTCAAAAATCTCTAACGAGTCCCCAACGGTGCATGTTCCTCGTATCAGGCAGCATTTATTTACAGCCCAGTACTCATTGGAAAGTATAAATGCAGCTCTTCAAACTTGAAAAAGTCATGGCAAAACTTTGGCTTTTCGAATCGAAGTGTATCACTTAGGGAAGTATAAGCACCCAGAATTGCGGCACGCTATATTGCAAGAGATATTTCTTTCAATAAACTGATAAAGTTGACAAGCAATCCGAGTAGGATAGTATTTATATATTTTGTAGTGAAAGTCATAGAAACTTCGCGACGAAATGAGGCCTGACGTCGAAAAAATCGAACTCGTGAGGAAGGTCTGTGCCCCGGGGATCTTGTTTAGGAATTTCAAGAGCTCTCTCATAATCAAAACTCACCATCCACTTTGACGCAAGTGGCTTATCAAAGAAAACTTGGTACGGGCACATAGTCATAGTAATAAATATTGCCCTGTAGTTTTGTTTCTGTGTAACGAACTGCGTAACTTCTTCCTCCTTACTTCATTGTAAAGAAAAGTTCTTGTGGGAAAAGAACCGAGAAACCGAGAAAGGTTAGTTCGAAAGTAAATTTGTTCATATTCAAATCAATCAAGAAAACCTGAGTGGTCGCATATCACGAAATTTCAGTGGCTGTAGCTTGAATATAGTTAATAAAGAATTGGATTCTGTTCATTTTCGAGGGGTTTTTAAGGAAATCGAATTCTTGGCGAAGTTTGTCAACCACTACAAAAAAGCAAGAGTCGGAGTTGTAGCAATGGACTGCCCTTCAAAAACCATTGTTCAAATGGGAACGTACAGCGAAAAAGAAATACGGTAATAATCGGTTCTCATTCACATTTGTGTGATTTTTTTGAGTAACGTGCTTGGTCAACTAGAGCAAAATTAAGTGCTGTGCACTTACAAAACTCTGCGAAATGTAGCTGGTCCAACCTACCTAGTTGTACATAATGTGAAATTTTATTTCAGTAGCAAAATCACCACACCAACGAATCCTGTATATCCGAAAGGAATGGCTCAAGCTTTCGAGTTGGCCAAGGCGCTCTTATCTGTGAGTATCTTAACAAGACTGTAAATGCATTGCTCACAAATGCACGGCAACAACCACTATGGAAACGACATCCACCACGGAAACGAAAGGGCTCCAATGCCAATTCGAGAGGCTCACCCGAAGCTCACATTTTCGACGTCTATTTGCACCCTCAAACATACCAGTGACTTCGTGTCATCAGCAATTACGCCCATCAAATTCCGTTCGCCAGCTCCTTTCTTTCAATAGTGAATTCCTCAGTTTGCTCTATTTAATTTGACCGTTATGTTTATGTGAGAAAGGGTCATGAATGAACACAGCGAGATTCACCAACCCTGAAATATATTCACTCTGAACTCTCGACCGCTCCCCCTCCTTCTTCTGAAATGGCTGCGAGCGACCTCTCTTCATATCCAATCATATCATACGTTTTCATTAGGCTCTCTCCTAGTAGGGGAAGATATAAGATAAGCAAGCATTAGCAAGCTGAATCACATTTCCATTCTGAGTTGGGCTCAGATCAGCAAGCTTTTCCCGTTGGTGTGGGAGTAGATGCGAGTGATGTGATGGCAAAGTTAGGCGAGTGGAGAGTAGAGTGCGGTGCTGTTGGTGCGCAAGACTACAAGCACTGAATTTCTTGACGCCTTTTTAGGCATCGAGAGCCTATCTTTGATACTGAAGGTCGACACACGATTCGCCTACCGGCTTCTGAAGAAAATCTGCACTCACCGTGTAATTTCAGCAAGTGCTTGGTAATCATGTGTAGCGAGCTTCATAGAGACGATGTAAAACCCCTGTGGAGGTCCCTCCGGAAATTTCTTCACATTTTGCGGGGTCGAATAGATAGATGTTCTACTAGGCCAGTGGTGGACCTGTGATTTATCACTTAACACGTTGACGACGGTGTCGGACAATGGTGGGCGACAGCCAGTCTGTCTCATGGGACGGTGTCGGACAATGCTGTCCGACAGCATACTGCTCTAATAATAAAGACGTGCGAGCAACCAAGTATGTTCAAAAGATGTCTATAGGAGTAACTGAAATTCTGAAACGAACAGCATAGTGGTTTGGCCCGGACTGCCCGGCGCACGCACGCCGGCGCCAAAATACCTTAGGTCACCAAAATCGTTGAAAACTTGTCTCGTGGGGTAGCTTGAGCCCCTGAACACGAATATCACATTCGTTTCCCGCGAAAATGCCTGGCGCCCGCGCCACAGGCGCCGGCGCCAAAATACGTTAGGTCACCAAAATCGCTGAAAACTTGTCTCGTGGGTTAGCTCCTGAAAATATCACAATCGCTTGCCACAAAACTGCCTG